TTCTTACATAAACAGTAAGTGTTTTGTGATATATAAGTAGAAAAAAAGTATGATATGAAGATCTATATTCTTTCTGTATTATCTGCATGTGACAAGAACCCTGTGGAGTTTTGATTTTGAAAATATACAAAAACTTTGAATTCTGTTAGGGTGGAAGCAAGTACTTGTTTATACTTTTTATACTCTTTCTAGATCACTTGTATTTTGCTAGTACTACTGAAATAAACACAAAATTGGCATTACAGTTTTTGTGAATTTAATACCTAAAGTTTTGAAAAGAAAAGAAAAAGAAAAACTTTTTATTCTATCACGGCAAGAACTTTGTTTTCCTTTATTTTATATATCCTGAATTTATTTAATCTTGTGGACACCCTTTATTTCAGTCTACTTCTCCCCTTCCCATCCCATTGACTTTGAACTCTAATTTCCCAACTCCAGCCACCTTTCCTCGTAGTTGGTGATTTCCCGCCACATTCTTTAGGGTAATTCTATCACCAACTCCCATGGCTAATTCCTAGAAAGCTTCCTTTCCACAAATGACCTTATTTTTCTTGATTCAGATCACCCCACACACGACACATGCACGCAATCTTTATCATGCCTTGACCTCTCTCTCTATGCTCCCCTCTCTCCATTTAGATTTCCATTGGTCAGTTCTAAACCACTTCCCCTATACTGACCACTTTCCAGCCCTTGCTCCTACTTCATACGTACCACTTCCTAATCCCACATGCTGTTGCTTTGATAGAGCTGACTGGTAATCCTTTTCTTTGTACTTTCACTTCACTCTCTACTATTGCTACCCCTCCATCCCCCTTCAAGTCCATTTCAGATATGCTACAATGTTTCACAGCTACAGTCCTAAGAGCTGCCTATACAGCCATTCCTTGAACTTCATGACCTTATACCTCCAGGTGTGTTTCATGGTGGCATTTTGATTGCACCAAAGCACTTTGGTTAAAATGTGCAGCCTGGAACAGTTATCACTACAAACGAGGCAACCCAAATCAGATCAGCCCTTTTCTCCTTTAAAGAGCATCTTCCTATCTTTGTTATACAATCTGGAACAGTAAAACAAATAGCTGGCATAATTGTTTCTCTATTACATTTGTTTCAGTTGTTTGGGGTAGGATCCATAATCTATCAGGTAAACATCTCCCCCTTCCAGCCCCTGTCCTCCATATTTGAGATACTCTCATCTCTGATCCTATCCAGGTCAATAATGAACTGGGTGACTATTTTAGCCAGGTTAATAGTGGCCCTCACCTTTCCCCATGCTTCTTTTACATTAAGACCATCAGGGAATGCACCCCCATCATCTTCACCCTATCTTCTGCTGAGTCCTATAGTGCTGCAACACTCATGAAGGCCCTGATGGTATTCACTATTGTATGCTCTGACTCCTCTTATCTTCCTCTCTATCCTTCCTATTAACTATTTTTAAGCACATATGGATGTCAGGAATTTTCCTTCTCATTGGAGAGAAGCTCTTATCCTCCCCTTCTTAAAACTCAATCAATTGGGTACTCTCCTTCAAGATTACCACTCCAGCGCTCTAACTAGCTGCTTGTGCAAACTCCTATAGCGAATGGTTAACCTCCACTTAATGTGGTATTTTAAATCTCACAATCTTGTCTCTCCTTTGCAGTTTGATCTCCACCATGCCCGAAGTACAGCTGACCCCCTTGCTCATTTTGACATATATTATATCTGTATTTGCACACCATGAATCCATATTAGCCATATTCTTTGACCTAGAAAAAGCATATGATACCACATGGCATTACCATATTCTCCAACAATTGTCCTTCCTAGGCATATGCAGAAACATGGGTATCTTCATAGTCTTTCCTCTCCAAACACACTTTCCATCATCTTCCCATCATCCTTAGTTCGAAGGCAGAAGGCAGTGTGCTCAGCACCACTTTTCTTCCTGTTATGAATTTCCTCCACAGGACAGGCATCACTTTATGTTGATGATTTAACATCTACCCTCTGGCACATCCATACCAAATCTCTGCCAATTCCTTCAATCTGCAATATCATCTGTACCTTCCTGGGCCACTAAACATTTTCTACCTACAAATCTTTCTCCATACTTTTCTCTCATCCATATGAATGTCCCCAACCTCCACTCTTCTTATATGGCGCTCCACTAAAATATCGTTCTTCTGGCAAATTCCTTGGCACTATTTTTGACTCCAAATTGTCCTTGGTGAGACCATATCTTTTACATTAAGAGACCCTATCT